CCCCCCCAGTACCCAAGCTATTCCCCTTCCCATGCCGCCACCACCATCCAGGTGGCTGGGGGACATGTCTGATGGGCCAGGAGCCTGCTGCTGGGTCAAGGTTGACCTGCAGTCAACACCTACCAGTGACCAGCTCCTTTCTGGTGCGGAGGTGGCCCCCGGCCCATGTGTGCTGTTGCAGTACCTGTGGCCGGAGCTTCTGCAGCAGCTGGATGGACTCGTGGGAGAGGAAGTCCGGCCACTCGATGTGTCCCTTATTCTCAGGGTCCAGGGCGGAGAACTGCAGGGTAGCCTGCTCCTCCTGGGCCTCTTCCATGGGCTTTTCGAACTGCTGCTTGTGCACCAGTTGCTTGTAGTGCAGGAAGTCATCCAGAGTCAGGCAGGTGTCTGCAGGAGTGGGCCCGGCGCCCGTCAGTGTGTGCTGTGTGGTGCCCCAGGAGTGGGACCTGCCTCCCCTGAGCACCCTGCCACCTGGAGACCCTCCTGCGGATCTCAGCAGGTGCAGAGCGAGCATCATGCGCACCGCGGGAGAGCCCGGCGATGGGGCTATGAGTGCTGCTGATAGGGAGACGGCTCCTGGGTGCTCTGAGGCTGCCCTGGGCCTGGCCTGAGGCTGGGGGCATGAAGCAGTGTGCTTCCCAGAGACAACTCAGGGCATCCCTTCCACCAGCCTCAAAGTGATGGGGGAGAGCTTCTTTCCTCTTGCTGTTCTCCAGGCCCCTGGTGGCACCACACACATTCCCTCTTCCCCCATCTCCCTCCTTCTCTGTCCCTCCTTCCCTGCTTCCTCTAGTGCTAATAGGAGATCCCACAGGCTGCCATCTTTAGCAGAGCTTTTACCTTTTACCTTTCCAGGCAGAGGAGCAGTAAAACCTCCACCCTAGAGCAGCAGTGCCCAGCCCAAGGACCGGGACGGCGTAAGGGGAGAGTGAGGGCTCAGCCCATGCTGCCACAGGGAGGGTCCACACCTGGAATGATCTTGCACTGCTGCAAGGTCTCCATCAGGCTGTACATCTCTTCCTCTGTCAACAGGAGGTTGAGGTTGTCCTGGGGTGGAGAAGTGAAGTCAGTGTGTGTGTTTCTAAGGTGAAGCACAGTGTCCTGGGGCAGACATGGCAGCTGGGTGGCAGAATGGGCTTCAGGACATCCGAGCCCGGGAAGGGAGAGCTGCCTGCAGGGATGGGGGCTTGGGTGCAGCACCATGAGGTGGCATCCCAGGTTTTCATTGCTTGGAGAAGCTGCAGTGTGGTTGCTTCACACCTGCAGCCTTTGGGCATGGTTCCAGCTCTGCCACAGCTCCTTGCCTACCCAGTGGCATGTCCCAAGGTGCTACCATACCCCGGTGGTATGTCAGTCCAGTCAGAGGAAGAGAAGCTCAAGAGACGGGGTAAGGGACTCTGCACCTCCACACCTGAAGTATTAAGTGGGGGACATTTTCTAGTGGTGTCCCTGAGTTCCTGAACAACCTGGAGGCAGATGGAGGTGCTCTCTGTGGAAGGATTTGGCCTGAAAGCTGCTGGCTGGAGCTGCTTGAAACTCCACATTGCTTTCCTGAAGGAAAGGTTTCCCTGCCTCCCCAGGACCTCTTGCCAAGGTGCAGGGACAAGCTGCAGGTGAGGGTTCCAGTGTGGGGAGATTGAAAAGGGTCGTTTTGTCCCCTGTCCTCTGGCAACAACCTGTCTGGCCAAGATGGGCTGCAGGAGGAGCCAAGGAACAAGGTGGACAATCACCTTGGACCAGGCCATGACGTGGGATCCTGCTTGTGTCCTCTTTGGGCATAGCTCCTCAGGGAGCAGCCACTGCACCCAGTGCAGCAGAAGCCTGCACTCACTGCCCCAGTAGCTGCAACTTACGCAGTAGCTGCAGCTCCAGCCCGGCTCGGGCAGCCGTCGTGGTACACCCGACTGCAGATGCGGCACGGGAAGAGGCTCTCAGATGTCCACACCTCACAGATCTCACACATCTCATCATTGATGACCTGGGGAGGGGCGGGCAGCTCTATCTCAGCACGGTGGGGATGCTCGCAGAGGCAGTGTGGTCAGGGAGGCTGGCTTCTCCACGTGGGGTGCTCAGGGCTCCGTGAAGCAGTGCCTCTCAGGCTACTTACTGGCTGTGTGGGTTTGGAGTGGGGTGGATGGGTTGGCAGGAGTGGGTGGACAGAGGAGTGCTTAGGGCTGGCAGACTGTGAGGCTGTAGGTTGGGCAGCATTCTGGGTTGTAGGTATGGGCTGTAGGGTTGTAGGTTGGCTGGAGTGATGGCCTCTTGTGGGTAGATGAGTGGAGGAATGGGTAGGGTTGGAGGTATGGAGAGACAGGTAGGGCTGTAGGTGTGGAGAGATAGGTAGGGTTCTAAGTGTGGAGAGACAGGTAGGGATGTAGGTGTGGAGGGATGGGCAAGGCTCTTGGTGTGGAGGGGTGAGTAGGGCTGTAGCTGTGGAGGGGTGGGTAGGGTTGTAGGCTGGTAGGTTGTAGAGCTGTGTGGACTAATCTGTAGATCAGAGATGTTCCTTCCCTTTTCCCCACAGCTGGAGCTGTCTGTGCCCAGCAGTAACTCCTCCTCTCTCCTCCCCTCCTAGGCACCCCAGGGTCCTTCCAGGGCATATCTGATCAGGACTAACCCCCAAGTGCACCCTCTTCCCTGAATGACATCTCCTGGCTCTCAGCTGCCTGGTCCTGTCCCTGGAGAGGGAGCACTCCTGCCTCTAGGACCCATCTCCATGCCGGATGAGCTCCTCTGTGCCTGGGCAGGCTGCCATTGGGTGCTAGGGACACTTGCGGATCCCCTTGCAGGGATGCTGTGTGCCTCCCTTGTATGCTCCCCTCCAGCCTTGTCCCTCTCGCCCCATCCCTGTGCTCCAGCTGCAGCTGGCGCTGGGTACTCGCCTGCTCCCGCTGCTCCAGGCTGATGTCCAGCGGCTCGTCGTCGTGCAGCTCCCGCGTGGGCCGGATGAAGGCCGGTAGCGTGAACCTGTTGGCCCGCTCAAACTCCTCTGGCTCCACACCGCGGCCGTCCCGCAGCCGTTCCCATGCCGCCTTGCTGGTGCTCGCGTCGAGGGCTCCTCTTTCAGCCCACCTTTAAAGGCCGACACGGCTAAGCTGACCTTCTGCACCTTCTCCACCGTCTGCCGCCTCGACATCAGCACCCCCATGGCTCTGCGAGGAGGAGGAGGGAGTCAGCCCTGGGGTGCAGCGCTGGACCCTGCTCCTGCAGCGCTGACCTGTGTCCCCAGCCCAAAAAGTATGTTCCAGACATACTGGGAGGAGCTCGGGGCAGGGAGAAATAAGGTGTCTTGGGCAGGCTGGTGTGCTGGAATCACCCTCTGGTGTATGAGGAACCGTGGTTTGGCCAAGCAGGGATGAGAAGCAAGGTGGTTTCTTACCCTCCCCAAATCTCTCCTGCTCCCTAGTCTCTCTCCTCCTCACGAGCTCGTGTGTATGTGTGTGCATGTTACTGCTTTAGCTTAGACATCCTTCCTCCATTGCTGAAATGTGGGTCGGAGCAAACAGACCGATGCGGGGGCTGCTCCAGCCATAGGGGGCTCTGAAGATGCTGGGGTGGAAGGGGAACATGGGCCTGGGGGTGCCCGAGGGAAAAGAAGGGACCTTTGGGTGCAGGACTGAGATGTATTTGGGATAAAACAGATAGGGCAACAGCAACAGCAGCTTAGACTGTGTCCCAGTGCACGTGGGCATGATCCTGGGCTGGAGAAGGGCTGAAGCTGTAGAGAAGGGTTTGCTCTCCAGTGATGGGGGACACAGTCTGTGTGCCAGCACTGCCCTGTGCCCATCTGAGGTAGCTTTGTGGGAGCTTTGAAGGCTTTGCCGAGGATGCTGCAGCCAAGAGGGGCTCCCAGTCCATGCCCAGGAGCAAGTGGGTGGCATTCGGTGACTGCGCAAGAGAGGACATCAGAGAAGTGATCTCCTGGCCTCTCCAGCCTGGCCGACACATCGAGGCAGGGAAGTCCCCAGGTAGGGATAATTAGTAGCCCACGTGCGAACGCTGGGATTTCATGGCTGCAGGACTGCACCGCGCTGCATAGAGCCTTGTCACGGTAATTACAGCTACTCCACATCAGCGACAATGAGCCGAGCACACCGGCAGGCAGCAGCTCGCAGGCCTCCACTCATCCCCATGCCAGCTGATTCAAGAATCGTAATGGCAAGTGAGGGCTGTTGTGCATTTGCCAAGCCCTCCCGGATGGGCAAACATGGCCCCGTGCAGTGCCCACACATGCAAATGCCCGAGACGCATGGAAACACAGACACACCGGTGTCCCCACGCACCAAAATGGCCACGTCGTGCAGCGGCCCCAGCACCTGCTTGCGGATGCAGAGCCACCCGCTCACGCTCGCTCTCCTGGTTGCCCCCCACATTAAGATCTTGCCGCCTGCCCCCCATGCACAGACGCTGCCTCCGCTCACGTGCGCACACAAACACTCACGCGAATGCGCGCACATGCGAACCCAAACAGCGCCGCCAGCACACGCGGGCTGCTTCCTGGCCCCCCGTGCTGGTAGCCATCTGCACACAGATCCGCACACATGGAGCTGCGGGCGCAACACGTGTGCCCCATCCTGCACGCAGTGGGTCCATACATGTACGTGCACACCCGGAGCGCATGCCCCCACGGTGCTGACACTCGTGCCTTGGTGTGCGCGTGCGTGTGGGGGCATCCACGCCTCCCTAGGCACCTGTTGGCTCCTGCGCCAGGCGCGCGGGGCCCCTGGTGTGCGCCGGGCTTTGCGAAGGTGGGAGCGGGGAAGAGCCGGGAGGCACATGTACCAGCTACAGCGCCCGCATCCCTGTGGTGGTGCCGACAGGAGAGGAAGGTGCCTCGTGCGTCTCTGCCTCCGTGCAGTGCCAGCTACCCCCCTGCTCGGGCTGCGCAGGACCCCGCGGGCTGCGGGCAGGTTTGGCTCTTGCTCAGGGCAGTGCTGCAAAGCACCTAGCTGGGGGTGCAGCAGGGAGAACCCCCCAGTGCTGCCTCTGCAGGTTCCTGTGCCACCAAGGCCCCAGCCGTGCCAAGTATGCCCGCACACACGGGTCATGGGCTGGTCTCATGGATGCTGTGGAGACCAGTCCATCTTGGAGTCTCCAGGCCCTGATGAGCGTCCTCTGCCAACTTGGGAACCCACACAGAGCCTGGTGCTGCTCAGGACTCCTGCCCCCCCTCTGAATCTCTGGGGGTCCCAGGGAGCAGCGACGCCAAGCCAAAGGCACAGGAAGAGCCGGCCCCGGAGCTGTCCGGATACCCCCCCATCCATGCATTGGCTGCATACGCCAGCCGCCGTGGCTGAGCAGTGAGCAGCTCCTGCATCCCCGGGGAAACGTCACTGTTGCTATTTACGGCCACCCTCTGTGGCGCCTGGCCCGGGATCCGGTGCCACCACCCTGCTCACCTTGACATAAGGCACCTTGTTGCCTGCTGCCAGCACGGGGCTTAT